TATTAAAATAAAATGTGTTTTTATGCCATTTTTGTCATTTTAGTTTGAGTTCAAATAAAATGGATCAGGACAAAAAGTGAGAGAATCTTTTTTCCTGAAACTCTCAGCATCTCTTAACACAGAGGGGACACATGTGCATGTATAAAAGACATGAACAGGTGGATTTTCAATAACAGGGGACCTTTAATAAATGTCTCTTTTGGAGGGCTGCCTTTCAGCTCTGCTTGATGTTTTCGACCCAAAGCAGCCTGCACTTACAAAAGCCGCCCGTATATATTTCTTGTATGAAACCATATCCGAGTCTTAATGTAGACATTAGACATGTAAGAGGGGGTGCTTCATGTTTAAGTGCATGATGCAGGCAGAGCTTCTTATTGTCGTCTTCAGCTGAACAATAACGCCTATAGTTCACTGAGAACAGCACTGTAGCCCAAATGTCACACACATGTAGGCCGGAGCCCAAGCTATCACCCAGAGCAGGTCCTGTATCCATGCCCACCTCATAGCGCCAGATATTCACATTTTAAACTACACTACCAGTGCCCCCAACCCCTTACCCCAACCACTTAAACCTCCCGTTAAGGTGTTTCTCTCAACACGCCCATTTTCCCGCATGCTAGGCAGTCAAGACTATGCTTGTTAGCTTCGACTCGATTTGTAAATAAGATTTGATGTGTCGTTTGTCCCCCAACTCCACTCCAAAGTGGAGATATTAGCTATGGAGCACCCCCTGCTTGTAAACACACACTGTGCTCAATTTGGGGGAGGATTTGGCGCCCTCTATCAAAACTTATTCAAGGGAAAAAGGGTTGTTCAAAATGTGCTATTGTCTGCATCCATAGCGGAATCTGAACCACGGCGGACGTCAGAGTCAAAGTACTTATCAGTACTAGTAAAACTAAAAAAGACACAGACTAAACTATACGGATCGACACAATGACTCGGAAAAAAACTATATCTCAGTAAATTTTTCTTTTATCTGAGGGAAACCTGTTCATCTTTCACGTTTATTCTGCCCGGCAACAGTCGAAGAATATTCTTAT